CCCAAACTAGGGCTTCTCGTATGCAACTCAGGTCTTAACTCCAGTCCCTTAATAAAGGGTCTATGTCAATAATCGAATATATTGAGCGAAAACGTTCGATTGTTGATTCCTTAGCTGAGAATCTTTATCCAGTTACCGATGAGGACCTGATTAACTACATTCTTGGTGGACTTGACTCCTCTTACGGTCCATTCACTACATCGTTTATGATGAAGTCGGAAGCTCTCACTGTTGATGACCTTACAGGGTTATTACTCCAGGAAGAAGCAAGACTCGAACAATAACATCTTCGTGTTGCCTCTGTACCACAATCCTCTACTGCTGCTGCTCTCACAGTAAAACGCTCAGCTTCCCACAACACATCACAGGCTCAAACTCATCTCAGTCATCCCGCAACTCAGACTCACGACGCCGTCGTCCAGTCTGTCAACTGTGTAACAAAACAGGGCACGAAGCTATTGACTGCTGGCAAAGGACAAACCAGACTGATTTTCCCTCAAGTAGGCCTAATCCACGAAACAATCAAAGACAGGTTCATGTAGCTCAACACAGCCCATCTGCTACAGCCATGGACCCAACATGGTACTTTGATACCGGAGCCACAGATCATGTCACTCCTGATGTTTCCAAACTTAATATTGCAGACAACTACCAAGGAGATGATAAACTTCAAGTAGGAAATGGTAACCATCTGTTTATTTCTCATGTTGGCTCAACTTCTTTGCCTAATTTAAAATTGTCAAATGTGCTTGTTGTTCCTGAACTCACTAAAAATCTACTCAGTGTGTCTAAATTAACAGATGATAATGATGTGTACATGGAATTTTGGCGTAATCATTGTACTGTTAAGACATTGCAGGGAAAAACAATCATCAAGGGGGATAAAAGTCAAGGCTTGTATCAGTTGCCTCACCCCAACACTTCTCACACAACCTTCTCTGGTATTCACACCTCCCTCCATGGATGGCATAGGCGGCTTGCTCATCCACATGAACCTCTTCTTCGGCGTTTAGTATCTTCATTTAATCTTCCAGTCTCATCAAATAAATTTCCAAGTGTTTGTGATTTGTGTCAACTTGGAAAAAGTCATAGATTTCATCTCCCCATATCTCATGTTAATTCTACAAAACCTTTTGAATTAATATATTCTGATGTTTGGTGCCCTTCCCCAGTTTTTTCTTTAAATGGTCATAGATATTTTGTTCTGTTCATGGATGATTGCACTAAGTTCATATGGGTTTATTTTTTAACTCATAAATCACAAGTATTCTCTACCTTCTTGCAATTCAGAACCATGATTAAAACACAATTTTCTTGTGATCTCAAATCTCTACAAACTGATTGGGGTGGTGAATACAGAAATGTTTCGACCTTTCTTAAAAACCATGGAATTCTTCATAGAATTTCTTGTCCTTATACACAACAACAGAATTGTGCTATTGAACGCCGGAATAGAGTCATTGTTGAAAAAGGGCTCACATTGTGATCTCAAATCTCTACAAACTGATGGCACTATTGACCGACACAAGGCACACTTGGTCGCAAAAGGATTTAGTCAAGAGGCCGGAGTAGACTATTTTGACACGTTCAATCCTGTTATTAAACCAACAACAATACGTTTAGTTCTCTCCATTGCTCTCTCACAAGGTTGGCGTATTCGACAACTTGACATAAATAATGTGTTTTTAAATGGTGACTTATCGGAGACGGTCTACATGACACAGCCTAAAGGCTTTGAAGACAAATCAAAACCTCAGCATGTATGTCGGTTAAACAAGGCATTATACGGTCTTAAGCAAGCTCTACGAGCTTGGTTTACCAAACTCAAGCATTATCTGATTACTCATGGCTTTCGAGCATGTCAGTCAGACACGTCCCTTTTTGTTCATATTTCTTCATCATCTACTATTTACGTTCTTGTCTATGTAGATGATTTGATAGTGACAGGAACAAATGACATCCACATGCATCAGTTCATCACCAACCTCAATCGCATGTTTTCACTAAAAGATCTTGGCGATTTGCATTATTTCCTTGGTCTTCAAATCACTCGACACAAGTCCGGAATTACAATATCTCAAAAGGCCTACATAAGGGATGTTCTACATAGAAGCAACATGTCTGAAGCATCTCTCGTGTCTACTCCAGCAGATCCATACAATCGTCTATAAAAGAATGGAGATCTTTTTGCTGACCCTATTCTATATCGCCAAGTTGTGGGCTCTCTTCAGTATGCTACCATTACACGCCCAGACATTGCTTATTCTGTTAACCGTGTGTGCCAGTTTATGCATTCTCCAACAAATCACCATTGGCAGGCTGTTAAACGAATCTTGCGTTATCTAAATGACACTCTCGATCATTGTCTACATTTCAAACCAACCAATGCTAAAGGTCTACATGCCTTCTCTGACTCTGGTTGGAATTCAGATCTAGATGACAGCCGTTCTCAGTATGGATTTGCCATTTTTCATGGTCCAAATCTCATTAGTTGGACATCAAGGAAACAAAAAGTTGTTACTCGATCCAGCACTGAAGCTGAATATAGATCTCTTGCTTACATCACAGCTGAGTTGTTATGGTTAAAGCAGTTGATATCTGACCTTCAAGCTCAAATCAACATCCCACCATTATTGTTGTGTGACAATGTCGGAGCTATTTTCCTGACTAAAAATCCTGTTATTAGTACCCGTTCCAAACACATTGCCTTGGACTTCCATTTTATTCGAGAACAGGTGGAGGCTGGTCAACTAAAAAATTTGTCATGTCTCCTCTGTGGATCAATTTGCAGACATATTCACCAAACCGCTGGGAAAAGACCGAGTTATGTATCTTCGTTCCAAGTTACAAGTTCGTCCCGCTCTTGAACTTGCCGGGGGGTAATAACAAAGTGGTAAACGTGTGTATTTGATAAAGTCAAATGGTCAAATAGTCAGAATAGTCTTAGCTCTAGTATAGCCGTAAATATCTCCTTTCTAGTTTTCTACTTGTATATATAAACATTACATAGTGAATGATAGAGATACAGTTCAGTTTCAAAGCTCATAATTTATGTGTCATTTTATATAATTTTACAAATTTCAAAAGTTTATAGATAATTTAATTAAACATTTTAACACAACTAAATGCTATATCTCCGACTACAAATAAAAGTTATAACTTCTATCTCCAACTTCAGCTACTAGCATTTTTTTCCAAATATATTAAATCGCAAGTAATCAGTCACTAGGTCATCTTGGTGGTGGTTAACAACTTAAATATTTGAAATAAAAACATAAAACAAGTTTATAAGCATTTGAACATAACTTAGAATTTGGATGAATATCATGCGATTCTATTTTTTAGCAAACACATTAAATCTCAAGTAATCATCATTAGGATTCAAATACCAAAAAATGCAGATTAAGAGTAAAGTACTAGGTGTGTTTGTTGTTCTAAAAAAGTCAAAGTTTGGGATATATTTTTATGTTATCAAGTGGGACCATGACATGAAGGTGTCATCAACAACTCACAAACAACCTCAGCTATGAGGTGTGGTGGAAATGTGCCCCTCCCCAAAAAGTTGAGGGTTCAAGTCCAGTTGTATACAAATGAGTAGATTTAGAACTAAGATTAGTGAATACGTGCGTTAGCCGTTCCAGAAGAAAAAAAAAAAAAACTATGATGGTCGAGTATGTTGTTTATGATGCAACATGTCAATCTCATAAGAAGACTCAAAATCATGAATACCATATCAAGACCATTGAATATATATTGTGACAATTTCACTATTGTTGGTCTTTCGATAGTAATAGTTCAAGTGGGGTCGGATAGTATCTTGATACAAAGTATTTATTTGTAAAGAAACAAGTATAAGAAAACAACCTTTGCATCTCTTATATTAGCACTCACCATATGCTAAGGGATCCGATCACGCAAACTCTTCAACCCAAAAGGTTCCAAGAACATGTCATTAAAATGGGTTTTTATGTAATTTTCGGAGCACATTGCTTTATTGTCTATAATTGTGGTTCCATCATATTATTCATTATTGTGTACAATTGTGATTTGCGCACACTTGTGATTAGATTTGTGGACAGATTTATATGATTTATTGTACTGGTGATTTTAGTTTATTGCAATGTCAAATCATTGTGTTAATATCATATAGTATAATTGATGAGGTCTAATGTTGATGATGACACATATAACTATATCTTTTTGCTATATGAATGCAAAACGTTGAAAGTTCATACTTAGCCAAACTTATGATAAATGATTTAGGAGGAGAATGTTAGAATATATATCTTCAATGTGGCCTTAATATCATTTTTGTAAACTATTTTCTGTTAGTGGTGTTTTCATCCAAGACTACAACTTTAACCATTAGCAAATGTTACAATTTTTCACAGCATCCATCTATAAGATTCTTGCATCGTATCATTATAAAAATACACTTTTATATACCACCAAATTGCATTTATTTCAACCAAACAAAATAAATTAAATGGATCAGAGTGTAAAAAAGAGGTAAACATTAAGATTATTATTAAAAGTTAAAACAAAAGAAGCACTCCCATTTTTCCATGGCCCCACCCCCACCTTCACTTGCAGTCTGTACAAGAATGTTGTCCCCCACCTTGTGAATAACCACTGGATGCTACTATTTCACAGGTTTTATTTTATTTAATGTTAAAAGCAACTGAATCACTTGAATCTTTTCTTCTAAAAAGACACTAAATTAAAAATTAGAAAGTCATGCAATAATTTTTCAAGAACACAAATGTAGAGCAGCATTTTTCAGTAAAGTGACTGACAGCAAATTCAGAGAGGCTTCTTTTGAGATGGAACTTAATTAAAATTAAAAGTTAATAATAAACAAGTAATGGGTTAAAACTTCTCTAAAATTCATTCAAAAAATATATATAAAAAATTTGCACAAATAATAATAAAGTACCTATGGAGAGCCTGAAGTCACTGTGATTCTTTGAGATGACACGTGATTGTACTTTAAGCAATGATTAATCCTCCCTCTCTTTGTTTTTGGACACAATTAATGTGATAAAAGAACCATTTTCATCATCTTTCACTCCATCATCGTCTTGAAAAATTTCGATTTCTTTTCTTCTTTGAAGTTTATCTTCAGCGTCTCTCAAGAACTTGAACTTAGGAGGTGGTGAAGCCCATATCCTGTTGAACTCTGAATCACTTGATGCCTCAAAAAGAGGACTAAAAGCTCTATAAGAATAATCTCCAGGTGTTATAGGAGGTGTTAAGTATGGTGGTGAAGCAAGTGGGGTGAAAAATGGTGTATCCACTGAAACGACATCACTTAAACTTCTTCTTGATCCTCTCTTACTCATCTCTTCTGATTCCAAATCTTCTTTTGTTTCTTCATTGATTGTGAAAAGGAATCTTGGTGGGACAGAGTGTAAGACTTCAGAGTCAACTGTGATGTTGTTGTCATGTTCTTGTTCTTCACCAAATGCTCTGAGCCATATGTGAGCTGAAGATGATGCTTGTGGTTCATGAACTTGGGTGTCTGTTGTTAGACTATTGGAGGTCAAAGATGAGGGTTTTTTCCAACAAAACATGTAGAAGAATTCTCTTGCTGGACTATTGTAACTTTCTTGAATCATATCTCTGTTAGTTACCCTTTTCTTCCACCATAACAGATAGTAAAGCTCAGCGAAAAGAGCTAGTAACAGACACCCAAAAACAAGGCTCAAACCAAGTCCTACACAGCTTGAAGCTCTCATCTTCTTTCCACTCACATTACAAGAACTGAATAAACTGGTTTCTGACTGGGAACTTCGCAAAACATACAATGATGCACCTCACAGGACTTTTCACAAACAGTTGGTGTGCATAAGAGCTTCGATGAGTCTCAGCAGAAACAAACCCATGAACGGGATAATAACTCTTGTCTCCATAAAGTAGTTTTTAGCTAGCTTACATAATCACCGTACTCGAAAGAAAGAAATGATACCTTTCTCTTTTGCTGAATGTCACACTCTTTGATGATCAAGCATGATTGAACTGATGCACCTTCATCTTTTCACTTTTATACCCGCAAAATTGAACCTGCATTTATGACTAGAAAACATCTAAATTAGGTTTCCTAAGAAACTCGACTGTGTGTTTACAAAATTGATTGAATGGAACATTGGATTATATACTCTAGAATAAGATATGCAAAAAAACGAGGGAGAATGAAAATCATACAGAAAAGAGTGGGAAGAAGTCGGCAAATCCAAAATGGTAATTTATGGTGAGACTCTTCCTTCGAGAGATGCCACCCAAAATCACATGGCATCACTAAGAAAGAAAGTGATGTATCACTAAATGGTGTCAGTTTCTGCTCCTCAAACAAAAATAAAGTATAGACAACATTACAGAATCGGTCCTTATGCTTTTTAAGAAATGGCATATTGAGGACAACTTTCAAAAAAAACTTCAAATATGCCGATGTAGTTTAAAAATAACATGGTTGGTTCTTTTGTCTAACTCTAACTCTAACTCTCTTAATAACAAGAATTAAATATTTATAAAAATACCATAATATCCTTCCTAATTTTTTTATTTTTTTCTTAAAAAAGTAGGTCGCTACTTACCTCTCATCATCATCATCATCATCATCATCACATTCTTATTTATCATCGTCTTCGTTGTCATCATCAATCAGTAGCATCATTCCTTCTTCCAAAGTATATTATAGGTAAAGGCGATGACGTTATTTGAGCTTTAGTTTTTCCTTCGATGATGGACATACGTACAATGGTGGATCTCCTGATCTAGTGAAGTGTTTTGGGATGGATTTAAACAAGATAATGGATAATACCGGAAGTACCCGAAACCGTAAGCATAAAGTTTAGTGAGTTCCCCAAAAATATCATATACCATACATATAGTTGGGCCTAGCCCTAAGGTATATTCCAACCCAACATACAATCATGGGCCCAACCCTCGGGTATGTTTCAACCTGAACATGCAATAATAGGCCTAGCCATAGGGTTTCTTTCAACCCAAACATACAATCATAGGTCCATCCCTGGGGTTTATTTCAACCCAAACATACAATCATGGGCTCATCCTAAGGTTTATTTCAACCCAAACATACAATCATGGGCCCAGCCCCGGGGTATGTTTTAACCCAATCATACATGCAAGAGTCACAAAGACAACTAACATCTTACATAACATAATCCAATGGGCTGGCATTGATGCCTTCAACCCACAAGTACAATGAGAAAACTCACATCTCAGTCGATACTCAGTTCCTACTGCTCTCACTGCTAGAAATACTAATGTCATGCACCACCTATGCATTTACACAAGGTAAGCCCTTAGCTCTTCTTCCAAAACTAGGAGTTTGACCAAAAGTCAACTCAAGTCAAAAAGTCAACGGTCAACATTGACTTTAGTCAACCACCATGTCGTGGCCTTCCATCACCATGTCGTGGCCCTCATTTAACAAAACAGTCGGGCATCTCCCAGTTGTCACGTGTGACATCCTGAAATTTAGGTCTAAAACTATAGACAATCAGTTCACCACAAACCTCTTTGTAATCTGACCTATTGAGCTATAATGCATATTTTGAAATATATATATATATATATATATATATATATATATATATATATATATATATATATATATATATATTGTCATTACAACTATTATAAGATACCAGATGGCATCTTACTTCCAATTGTAGAAAATCTCAAACGAATCAAACAACTCAAACTGCAACCCTAGTTAATACGTATGAAAAATTAAAAATTCGTATTAAGCAATTGCAAGCGAAGCAAGCACTCTACTCTCGTAGTATATGTTTACCTGTTTCCAAAAATATAAAGAACGTCCAAAACGGAGTCCGTATGCAAAAGATACAACAGTTATAAGAAAACAAACCTATAGAACACTGATTTTCTTTAAACTGGTAAAACCGTTTCTATTTGTTGAGGCACTTGCACACCTTAGATGGAACTTCCGAGAGCGTTTTGGACTCAGACTATGGTCAAATAGTTAATTACATACTCGAAATATTTTTTGCAAAAGTCGAATAATCAGACGTTTTGGGTCAAATAGACGTGAAACTTTAAATGCGATTTCAGGGAGTTCTACAAGTCGAAAAAGTAATTCGTTCGGGTTTTTGGAATCATTGAACTCTACTCTATCATACGACACTTTCGAAAAAAATATTAGGTGTCGGGATTTGGGCACACAAACCAAGATGTCTTTTTGGGAGCTTTTGGGACTTTTTGCTAAGTGTGACGTGACCATGGCCCACCCTATCATGCATGAAGAAAAAATCAACATTTCCTTCCCTTCCTTATCTTGCCCACGTGCTTCTTCCCTTCCATTACTTCTTTGGAGCACACTCCTCACCCTAAGTACAATCATGGTTGTGTTTGTATAAAAGGGGAGCTTGGGCTCTTCATTTGAGCACCAATTAACCAACCATCAATCCCTTACTTTCCCCTATCCATTCTCTCTCTTTTCTTGGTTTGGAACCCACCATCGAGAACCACCATTTCACCGCCATAAATCACCACCGGAACCATCCCTCTCTACATGTTTTGTCGAGCAACAACAGCCCCAAACCCCCTACACATGTTGTCATTCCTCCTCCCTCTCTCTTAGTCCACCACCGGCAGAAAAGAAGAAGAAAATCGCGGCAACAAGGCACCTGGAGCCGACCGTTGCCACCGCCAAAATACCGGCTGCCACCGTTGGGCAGCCTTCGACCACCACCTTTTCTTTTTCCACCTTGTGTTCCCAATTATTTTGTGGTGATTTCCAATCCCTAGCATCGAGTTTTAGTGTGTTTTGTGGTATTATTTCGAGTCCAAACCAAGATTAGAAGTCGTTGCTATTTTAGGTGTCATTTCGCGGTGCTTCCCATAAATCACATT